TTCACTCTGACAAAGACAATTGTCTCATCAAAGTCATTATAATTTGGGTTGATTTTCCTTCATAAAATATAAAGAAATTGTCATCAAATTCATTATTGGGTTTAGTTTTCCTTTTAAAACACCCTCCCATTAAAAAAAATTAAATCAAATATTAAAAAATGCAGATCTAGATCTAATTCCATTTGGTGACTTTTATTCTGATGAGGACAGTATCCATACGAATAGACATCTGGTAATAAAATCAAATGTACTGTGCATATTCTGCTAAAATCAAATCAGCTGCAAGGTCAACCCTGCAGAGTTCGTCTCTTCAGAAAAGAATATGGCGGTCTGGTTGTCACGGATTATTTAGCTTGCAATGCTTGGAGTGGCCAATTAATAAAAATCAGTAATTAAGCTCCAAATGAGTTTATTTTCAACAAATTAAGTATTTGATTGATTAGAGATTGATCTCTAGTTTCCATTGGTAATGTTGAAATTGAAAAATAACGAAATTTAAAATTAGTGAGTTTCTCTAGAATCTAGATCTAGAATCTAGCTATTTGTTAGGTTAGATTATTACTAATTATTAGATTAAGAATAAGATTCTAGAAATGTCATCTTGTTTCTAGTAGAATGTAGATGAAGATGTGATGTAGGTGTACTGTAATGAAGTCTAATTAAAAATTGGTAATCTATCGTTTTAGTTTTAGGTAGTTAAAATCGCCCGCGGCTAGTAATGTACGAAAAAGTTACCTCATTGTCAAGGCTTCAATAGAAGTATATAAAGTATATTGTGATATATTTGTGTCAAATATTATAGATAAATGAATAATAAATAAACCTAAATCAATGGCTAAATATATATAATATATATCAAATAGAGGCAAGAAATTAACTTTAAACAGCAGTGTTTGAACTGTTTGCGAGCACGATTTGCTATATACAAAGCGGCCATCTGTAAGTTAGAGTGGCTTCCCCTGAATCTTGCGCTATAAGTTTACAAAAAAAAACTTAAACAGGAAGGCTGCTATAGTAAATGAGCATGGTTGCATCTGTTGGAAACATTGCTAGTCTTCATTTATTATTGAAAAGTTTTAATTCAATTGTTTAAAAGAAGGTACATAAATGAAACAAGGAAACATTTTTGTATTTTTCAAAACATAAATCCTCCTAAAAAATGTGAAGTAATTATTAAATTTTAAGGAGTCACCTGTTTTTCATGATTTTACGTACCTAAAACGATAGATTACCCATTTGTTATATATATAAATGAGACTGAGTGATCTAGCGGTAGAGAGCTGGACTGCTAACCCGTAAGTCTCGAGTTCGTATCTGGGTTCAAGTCAGTAGACCGTCCCTGAGTCCACCCAACTCTGATGGGTACCCAACTCACGTTAGGGAGAGTAAAGGCGGCTGGGCATAGTGCTGACCACACTATCTCTTCATATGCATGCAGAGGTCACAGAAACAAGTGAACTCTACTTCACTTGCCCCATAGACCGTCAGGTTTGAAAGGGAAACTTTACTTATATGTATAAACTACAGCGGCCATCTGGTTTCCCCTGAATCTCTAAGTAAACAAAAATTAAACTTAAACAAGATGGCTGTTAAAAAAACGAGCTCGTTTGCTTCTGATGAAAACATTGCTTATCTTTATTTAATACTAACAATTTTGATTAGAATTGTTTAAAAACAGGTAGGCCTACATGAAACAATTTTGTAACTTTCAAAAACATAAATCCTCCTAAAAATAACTACTAAAATCAAAATGTAATGAGTCGCCTTTCTTTCACATTACGATTACTAGTCTCTGTAAATTCTATAGACCTAAAATAATAGATTAGAGCTCGATTCTAGAATTGGTAAAACATAATTTTAGCGTATTTTACTCCCCACTTCACGTTCACCTCCAGTTGAGCATATTTAATTATAAACACAGCCGAAACACACAAAAATGTTAGGAACACTAGGCCTATTTCTTTATGAATTTTTGTTTTAGTTTTGATAATTTACTTTTGTCAAAACTTGAGAAAATCAAAGTTTGGAATACTGAATGTCAGTATGCACTAGATCTAGATCTAGACTTAGCTTTTTTTAAATCTATAAATACATTTTTATGAACTCACAATGACTCCTAAACTGAAGGGACCGCAATTCTTATAGCAATTGCTGAAGTGGCGAATGAAATACGCTAAAATTGAGTATTACCCTAGAATTTAGCCTAGCAGGTAGTAGTGTGGATAGATCTAGTTCTACTACTAATAGTACTGCGACTAGCTAGATTCTAGATCGAACTTAAACTACTACCTACTATTGAACTAATTAGTAATAGTTAGACTAATACTAACTACTGATGTAGGACTGTCGAATCTTGATCACTGTACTTGTACTAGATCTAGTACTACTACTGTACACTACTAATGTGTACTAACTGTACTTACTACTGTCAAGCCAAGTGGCTAATATTAATACTAATAATGACACAATGCCAATGTGTAGTTTTTGTTCGGGGTATGTGATGTAACACAACAAGTCAGTCTACATGGCATGCTACATTAATTAATTCAGTGCTTCTTAGCTTAGAGGTTTGGTGAGTGTCTCAGGAGCTTGGCATAGGTCACGACATGCACTACAGGGTCGTCCTTTAATGACGTCACACTCATAGGGGGGAGGGGGTCCGTAATTTTGTGACGGTGTGTGATGAGGGTGGGGGAGGTTCAGATGGTGCGACGTCACACTTTTGCATTATAAAAAAGCAATGTTAGAAAATGAGTTTTAGGCGTAATTTCGTGTTTTAGGAAACTGTTTTAATAAATTGTAATAGAAATTGATTACAATAATATATTTTGACAGAGTTCAGACAAGATTTTTGAAAAATATCGATGTTTTAAAAAAACCTGCAATTTTGAGGGGGGTTGTAGGCTGAGGTGTTACGTCATTTTAGGGGGGGGGGAGCTCTGGCTTTTTGTGACAACGTGTGACGCAGGGGAGGGGGGAGGTAAAAATCGTCAAAAAAAGCATGACGTCATTTATGGATGACCCCTACTCAATTGGATTTTGTCAGTGCAGAAAATAGAAATAGACTAGTTTAGTCTAATGCGCTGTTATAGTTCAATGTTACAGTCATTGTAAGTTGGCCAATGCCTAAAGAATAGATCTAAACTAAGTTAATAGTACTAATGTCCCCATATGCCATATTACCTTTACTTAAAATTTAAAGGTTAGATCACTGGTAGTTAATTTAATAATACAAATGTGACTTGCTAAACTTCAGTGCTAACCTAATCCCTCATCCTAGTCCTACCACAGTCTTAACCATAATATACCTGAGCTTACAGTAATATTACTAACAACATATTAACTAGACACCTATATTTTTTTTTCTATTTCTGAAATTGGTAATACCAATACACCTGCTACCCCTGATCTTCCCTTTTCCTTTCTTGTCTCTTATATTATTTACAATGTTTATATTAGTAGTAGTATTACAACTGATGATTATTAATGTTTGACAAAAGTGTCAAAATACTCTAAAAAGGTGTGTTAGTAGTTTGTAACTCAGATTTGGTGTCAAGGTTCAAAATTGGGTTAGGACTTAGTTTAGGGATAGTGTTAACCTTGGCATTAGCAGTAATGTCATTTATGTTTTAACTACCAGAAACAATGATTCGTTATTGAGCATTAGTGTATAACACATACCCCGTTAGTACTTTATGTATGACTTTTATATTACCTGCCGTGTATACTATACAAAATATATTGTATCCGGTTTTTTATTTTTGTAACTAATAAAGTAATATTAGCTCCATTTTATAATTAGGCCTACTAAACTTTGATTAATTTAGCAAGGTCATGATCAGATAGGCATTACATATTCAAAGACTGATCTATAAAACTTTGGGAGGTTGTTAAGAATACTCCTGGGGAGGTTTTTGCAAAGAAATAAAAGATTTTGAAGGAGCGGCGTAGCAGCAAGATGCATTTTGCATTCCCGTGAGCATTATCGCACAGTCATTCACTGTATCAAATCAGGCACATCCCTAGTACACTGGCAGTGTGCGATTTGGCACCTGGGCTCCTCTGTGTTGCTACTGTCATTTTAAAAGGTGCCATACTTGATGTACATTGTGGGCTACTATAACAGTTGACTAAATTAAATCAGGCATGTCAGCAGTCAGGTGATCTGCAGCACTCCCACATGTTTATATGCATTTTTAAGACCAGCACACACCATTTGATGATTAAACTGTGGGCTGTATCTGGTGCCTTCTGGTAGTGTATCCAGTAGCTACAGCCAGTGCCCCATGACACCCCAGCAGTTAACTAACAGTAACCAAGCACCTGTGTTTTAAGATGATTCTGTTACAAGGAATTTGTATTGCAATAAACTTTATTTTTAGACATGACATGACTTGAATAAAATAATACACAGTTGGGTAAACCGTTTACATGTTTTTTACACTATGATTAAAATAATTATTCTATGTGATTTTAAACACAAAATAATACAATTATAAAAACACCGTTATGAATATAAGATTTAATTGCACAAGAAACAAACTTTTTTATTTTTAATAAAAGCATTGTGTGTGTAAGATGTGTAAGGAATTTCATGAGCAACCAGTGCTTATATTAGTGGACCAAATAATGTCCCTGAGTCCACCTCAGTAAAGTTGCTAGGCTCAGTACTGACCACACTATTCCTTCATGTGCCGAGGTCACAAAAACTCTGTTTACTTTCTCTAATACAGAGTAAACTATTGTAATCATGTAGAAAAATTAAATGAAATTTTAAGTTTCCCTCATTTTACACCTCCCCAGTTTATAAAGAATATAAAAGATGCAATAACATGAGTACTGTTACAGTTATGTTTACTAAATTTCATATTTAAGTATTTTATCAAATTTGTAGTTTCCTGTCAACTCAGGAGCAAACATAACACTTATGCTTTTTTTTTTGTATTTAGTTTTTGTGTTCAGAACTTATTCAAATTAAATAATGAAACTTTGTGTTCTAGGGGCGTTGTCTATATGATTTTGATGGTGATGAGAGTAATGGAGAACTGAGCTTTGTTGCAGGGGAGACTTTATATATTTTGAGACAGGTCAGTCAATTTTGTTTTTTTCTAAATGTATCTTACTTTTATACTATTAAGTCAATAAGAGGATTTAATATATTTTTTTACTGAAGGTAAAAAATTTCCACCCGTTTTTGTGTTAGCCTTGATCATACTTGATGTAATATTTGTCTGAATTTTAAATTAACCCATTTAAGAAATTGATGTGCATTTAAGCATTCATCAATCCTCACTCTGACAGACATGATCAATCATTTATCTACCTATAGCACTTGCCCAAAATCTATCCTTGCTTTTTTTGGTTCTAAATTAATAAGATATTGCACTGAAATGCAAAGAACCATCTGATTATTTGCAATTTAAAAAAAACCATCACAAATAGCTTTTGTAAACAAATTTTAACTCTATGATATTTATCTGAAACTATGCAATTAACATTTTTTAAAACAGTTACTTACAAGCTGAAATGATTTGATAAATAGCCTACAATTATTGTTTGTTATCTGCCAAATGCTTTATTAGGTTTATACATGAATAAAATGTATAAAATTGCATTAGAACCTGTCCACAAAAAATTCAGTGAATTTTATCAGTCCTGTTAGCCAGTTAGTTTGTATTATGATAGGTTCTTTTTCTCTTTTTGTGGTCTCCAATTTAATGTACACACATAACCACAAGGGTAAGGGTTTAAAATACTGAAATACAGAACTTTTCATGGAAATTATTAATGAAATGTCCCAATTTCAACCTCTTCAATATGAAAACTAAAAGTACAAGTTTCATATCCCCCTTTTTTAAATATCTTTTTGGGGTGGCATAGAGTTAACTTTTTGGCAGGCTTATCTCGAAGAAAGTCTACCGATTTCATTTGTCCGTCCCCGTCGTCGTCCCCCCCCCCCCCCCTGAAAAAAAGTCTGAAAGAAATAATGGGACTTAACTATACTAACACTATAGGAGTCCAGAGGCGTAGCGACCCTTCCCGGCGCCCGGGGACATACTTTCAATTGCGCCCCCCTCGGGAGCAAATTTTCGATTTGCACCCCCCTCGAACTTTTCATTTGCACCCCCCCCTCAAACTTTCGATTTGCACCCCCCTCGAACTTTTCATTTGCACCCCCCCCCCCCCTCAAACTTTCGATTTGCAACCCCCCCCCGAACTTTTCATTTGCACCCCCCCTCAAACTTTCAATTTGGCGCCCCCCCTATGGTCGGCGCCCGGGGACATATGTCCGCCCCCCCCCCCCTCGCTACGCCTCTGTAGGAGTCATCCATAAATGACTTGACGATTTTTACCTCCCTCCTCGTCACACATCGCCACAAAAAGCCAGACCCCACCCCCCTCCCGTAAAAAGACGTCACACCTCAGCCGACAACCCCCCCCCCCCCCCCAAAAAAAAATATTGCAGTTGAATTTTTCTTAAGACATCGAAATTTTTCCAAAAACTCTGTCAACATAGAGTATTTTAATCAATTTATATTAAAACTTATTAAAACCGTTTTCTAAAACGCGACATAACGGCTAAAACTCGTTTTCTATATAATTGCTTTTTTATAATTCAAAAGTGTGACGTCGCACCATCTGAACCCCTCCCCCTCATCACACACTGTCACAAAAATACGGACCCCCCCTCCCCCCTACGAGTGTTAAGTCATTTATGTGCGACCCCATATAGTGATTTATTCTTTATTTTAATTTATTTTATTATTTTTACTTTCTCGTATATGCGAAGTATAGAGAAAATCTTGTAATCGTGCAAATTTTTTTTTTTAGATTTTTACAAATCTCGACGTTTTACACATCCCTGAGTCGGAAAAACATTTTTGCAATCTTGTCCGTATGTGTGTGTGTCTGTGTGTCTGTAAACACGATAACTTGAGTACCGTTAGAGCTAGGTTGATGAAATTTCATATATAAATATTTTATCAAAATCGTAGATCCGTATCAACTTTTGAGCGATTTCCGATAACCGGAAGTGGTACTTTTTCTACTTTGAATTTTTCAAAAGCCTATAACTTGAGTTCTATTTCAGATAGATAAATGAAATTTCACATGTAAGTAAAATATCTAATCCTCTACCTTCTATCAAATTTTGAGTAATTTCCGTTGACCGGAAATAGTAATTTACGCTATTTCCGATTTCTCAAAAAACGCATGTAAATTTATAAAGTACTAATAATATTCTGCATTATTATGCACATTTTGTTTTGGCGTTCGCTTGATGCGCAATTCTTTTTTCTTCGAGATTCTATTCTATTTTTAAAAGTTTAAGCAATTAAAAATCATGTCCATGTTCCGTGTTGCCATCCCACGTAATGTTATATAAGAATATTCGAGAAAGTTTAGGGGAGATTACTCCCGGTTTATTTAAAAGATGTAACTAGATCTTTATAATGAGCGCTTCATTAACGTTTTCCCCTTATCAAACAATTGCGGATGCAGAAAATCAATACAGGAGTGCCACTTGTCAAATATTCAAGACCTCGTTAGGTGAACTAACCTTGACCTCTCAGTAGTAGCCTGTTTTGTTTGCCTTGCTAGATTGGGTAGTGTAAATGAAGTGTATTGACTGTCTGATCCTGCTACTCATATCTCACTCATATTGGGGATAACTGTTCGGTGTGTAGGCTTTGTGATTAATCCAGCATAATAATAATAAAAAAAAAACACCACAAAATCTGCTAGCGCATGCTATTCTAGCGTATGTGCAGAAAATAAAAAGCAAATACGTCTCAAATAGACGATGAGTCAAGTGGCGTCGCTAAGTCGGGTGTCACCCGGTGCTGCACCTCGTGGTATCACCCCCCCCCCCCCCATGAACAAAGTATATATATATATATATATATATATATATATATATATATATATATATATATATATATATATATATATATATATATATATATATATATATATATATATATATATATATATATATATATATATATATATATATATATATACACACACACACATATATATATATATATATATATATATATATATATATATATATATATATATATATATATATATATATATATATATATATATCCAGTGTTTCTTCCAGTCTTTTTTCTCCGGGGAGGGGGGGGGGGGGGCACTAGAAATTTCTGCTTACAAAACTATCAGTTCTGTTTCCTCCATCGAGTACCATCGTACAAGTAGTACCCATTTTATAAATATAGAAACGAGATACGATGAGTTTATACACGTAGTTTTTTCTTTAAAAATAGAAAAAGCGCAGTGCCACTTATTTCTTCATATTTTTATACAAATCAAGTCTTGGGTTTGCTACTGTCTTAGTTAACACGTGAACGTCCACATGTATCCGGAAACCTAACCCTTCCGTGTCCCGTAACCCCCCTCACTTGCCTTTCGTATGGATGTCAGGAATGGATGAGCCATGTTTTGCGGTTTGTTTTTCCATAAAGTACATACGTAGCGTAAAAATGTAGCAGCCGAACGTGGCAAACATTAAATGTGAAACAGGCCTCGTTGTTTGGTTCACAACAACTCGTAGTTCTCATGTATGTATTGAAGGCCTGGTGACATATGTATGATCATACAGAAAATAATGTGCCCTTTCAACACATCCACGGAAAGTGTCTGCTTGCAGTTAGTGTGAGACAAAGATTGCCGTATTTTATCACCATCATCTTTACTTTAAAATAGCTCATTACCAAATGACAGTGCCGGAAGTGAGCTCTCATCTGCCTAGGAAAAACTTGTTGACATTTTACTGTGCTCCCGAACAGATTATGATGTGAACAACACCAGTGCACGAGAGAACAAACCTTCAGTACATTTCATTACATACTCAGCCCAGTTTAGACTAAATTACAGCTACACAAACATTGAAACTTGGTAGACAAACAGATATATCCACCAACCGTCCGTGAACAACGTCATACAATTTTTGCCTCTCTTCTTCTTGTACTGTTAGAAAGGATTTACTCCAAAACAAGTTTTAATTAAATAGCAACTTGTTTTAGCCTACTTTTCAGTCTGAATTTGCTTCCATAACCTTTGTCCAACTTTTGTCCTATATAGTTTGCTGTCCCCAGTTATCGGATTTTCTGTTTTTCGCTGTAGCAACCACGAGCTTTACCGACCCGACCTGGCGACGCCCTATTAAGCCAGTATTATTATTTCTTATTAATATTGACAATCATTAGATAAATCATTCCTAAGACCTCCTGAGGTTCAGGACCTCTAATTCTGTTTATTCATCGCTTGCTTACCAAAGAGGTGAGCTCACTGTCTTTATGAACGTCGGTCTCTATATGACGTCTCACTCCATGGGGGGGGGGGGGGGGGGGGGGGGCGCGGATGACAGTGTGTGACGGGGTAGGCGTGGATGACAGTGTGTGACAGTGTGTGACGGGGTAGGCGCGGATGAAAGTGTGTGACAGTGTGTGACGGGGTAGGCGCTGATGACAGTGTGTGACAGTGTGTGACGGGGTAGGCGCGGATGACAGTGTGTGACAGTGTGTGACGGGGTAGGCGCGGATGACAGTGTGTGACGGGGTAGGCGTGGATGACAGTGTGTGACGGGGTAGGCGTGGATGACAGTGTGTGACGGGGTAGGCGTGGATGACAGTGTGTGACGGGGTAGGCGTGGATGACAGTGTGTGACGGGGTAGGCGCGGATGACTGTTTGTGACGGGGTAGGCGTGGATGACAGTGTGTGACAGTGTGTGACGGGGTAGGCGCGGATGACAGTGTGTGACAGTGTGTGACGGGGTAGGCGCGGATGACAGTGTGTGACGGGGTAGGCGTGGATGACAGTGTGTGACAGTGTGTGACGGGGTAGGCGTGGATGACAGTGTGTGACGGGGTAGGCGCGGATGACTGTTTGTGACGGGGTAGGCGTGGATGACAGTGTGTGACAGTGTGTGACGGGGGAGAAGAGGTTTTTCTGAAAACGTAACCACATACTTTTGCAATAATGTGAGAAACTGAATTGTAACGGTTATTTATATTGGTAAAAGAATATAATTATATATAAATTTAAATTGCAATTTAAATTGATCAATATTCTCAATGTTGAGAGAGTTCAGTAACTCTTTTAGAAAAAAAAATGTATCAGTTCCTTCAAAAAATCGGCGGTAGCCTGAAGTGTGACGTCATTTAGATGTATTCAGGCTTTTGACGGCAATGCGTAACTTTGGAGAGGGGGAGGGTGAAGTTAAAATCTTCAAAAATCTAGATCTAGACGTCGTTAATGGTATGTCTGAACCCATTGTAGTTTATCTACACGCTGAGCTGGGTTTATTTTAAACAACACGAGCACTACAGTCTTCATTTTACATTTATTTGCCGGATAAGAGTTAGTTGTAGTCTATCATAAAATGCTTGTTTTTAAAACGGAAGTACTTGGATGTAAAATTCAAGATGTGGACGCATACTCAACCCACCTCCCCATTTCAGACACGTCCACAAAAGTTGATCACCCCCCCCCCCCGCTACTCACTTCTACGTAAGCACGAACCACCCCCACATCTGTTGATAAAAAACCAACATCCTATTTATGTTTGACACTTAAGGTGGCATTCAAGAGGACATTTAAACATGAATGTAGTTTTATAGTAATAACAAATATTAGGGCCATCTGCCTACCATAATTTGGTTTGAGCAACTTATCGGGGTGCCATAACTTTAAATTACTTTAATCTTCAGTTGTTATAAAATGTACTTCTAGTGTTTTAAAAATTCTAACATGGTTGGTTTCAGCATCCGCGTACCTTGAAAGTCGTCGTCCGTCAGTGAATGGCATGCGTCGAGTCATGCACTTTCTATTTTGTTAGTAAAATGTTGGCTTATTCTATATTCTGCTATGTTCTTAGGTTTTGCCATGTAAACAATAACTAATTCTGTTATTCTTTCTCACAATTATTTGTACGTTTATGTAACAGCGACGTAGTATATTCGTTCATTACGTGAAACTACGTGCACGTTGGACAACCAGCTTCGTGCTGTCTAGCTGTGACATTTCTCGACGTGTGTTCTGTTTTGCACGTCAACTTGCAGTGACTAAAGGGGCGTGACTGGATTCGTCATACCGTGTCCTGATTTATAAATAACTAGGTCAGGGGGCGGGTGAAATTTTTTTCTGCACCACGTCCTATTCAACTTAAGTGCTGATGAGCATTGCCGTATATGATGATGGGGGGGGGGGGGGGGGGTTACAGGCATCAGGACATTTAACCAATGGGGGTATCAAAGGGAGGGAGAATTCTGTTGGCTATGTATGTTTGATAAGTATTTTCTATTGAAGAACGTCATTTGCTGAATACGTACCTTCGTATTTTTTTTTTTTTTTTTTTTTTTTTTTTTTTTTTTTTTAAATCAGGTGAATGGCATTCCTATGCTCTTACACAATTAATTCTCTCCTATGGAACACTTCACCCAGATTTATCCAGTCCTGTTCATTTGTTGTTTAGAAAACCTGGCTTTGAGCACTTACTAAATTGCTATTGCCTATTTGAAAAAAGTTGGCCTGCAAGTGGGATGATGACATTTCAGTTGGTCCAGTTTTATTAAGGCATTAAAAAAAAAATTCTTTAGCAAATTTTAAAATTCACCCTCTTTTCAGAGGCACCCAGGGCAAACTATAGTCATCCTCTACGGCCACCACCCCCCCCCCCCCCCGCTGTGGGCGACAACCCCACCTGCCCTCCCCTAGCTACACCTATGCCTCTCTTAACACTGGTCAGCGGATTACCTGGGAGACATGCCTCATTTACCTACATAAACCATTCTTTTTATGTATTTCCAGCTAAATCCTGAAAAATGTACCTTAGATATTTTAGAAAAGGTATTCAATGCATTATATAGTGATCCACTACTTTTCATTTTATTTATGTAAATATTCATTCATTATTATATATTTATATTTTATATCACTGACTTTCTTTTAGTTTAATAATTATGCAAAAGCTTGTTGTTAAAAAAGTTTTTAATCATTTTGTTTTTAATACGGTTAAAGTTTTAACACAAAAGAATTGCATCTCTAAAAACACTTAATGAACACAAAAAATGAGCCTATAGTAGTGCGTTAAAATTAATACTTTACATAGGAGACATTAGTTAACTCTTAAAAACTTACTTAAGCATCCAATAAGGTTGATTTTCATGTCACATTGCATTGTCACCGGTCTTGACCTATACAGAAAGTTTGAAAGAAATCGGTCAGGTAGAAGTGGTCCAAATTTGGCTCACCAATTTTGAACTATGATGAAAAAATCACAACAGATAAAAGCACAAAAAACGAGTTCAATAAAAGCGTGTAAGAATGAAAATATGCTTGTCTGTTGTCCTTAATGCAATACTAAACTTTTCATCTGATCTTAAAACTTTGGGAAGTTGTTGAGAATACTCCTTAGAAGGTTTCTTTGATAAAATTTTTAATTTCTTAGTGGTGGAGCCCTGACATTAGGGTGTAGTTTAGCACCCAGAGTACCTCAGCAGCTACGTTAGAAGCTGGGATACATTGTTTGGATGTCCTGCACAAGGGTATTACTTGATTCAATGGCCGAACTGCATCAGGTGCATCCAACTGCATCCTGGCAGTAAATTGACCCGGTGTGCCCCAGCCTCCCCCTTGAGAACTTTAACACTTGGGTTTGTTTAAAAGAGCTCCATACACTAAGTGTACTGTGGGCTACTATAAGAGTTTGATTGGGCAGGCTGCCCAGGGGGAGCACTTTTGATTCAACTGTCAAACTGCAATAGGTGTGGTCTTTGTGTTCCATATGTCAGGTGACCTGGAGCACCCAGGCATATCATCTTCCCTTTAATGTTGGTAAATAATGAAGTTTGAATCCTTTGTTGTCATCCTCACACATTATTCTGTATACTTTGTTACTTTTATGCCAATAAATCAATACATGCTTATTAACACATATCTGTTACATTTCTATTTTCTAGGATATAGGTGATGGCTGGTGGGAAGCAAGAAGTGCTGATGGTAAACATGGGCTGGTTCCTGAAACCTATATTGAAGTAGGTGCTTTTGTTTCTTACAACAACAAACACATGATAATACAGCATCAAGATTTGTTCTTGCAGCTATTGCATAAAAAAACAATTTAAAAAAACAATAAAAGCCATTTATTGTGCATTTTTCTTTTCTGAGGAGCAACATTTATAATTAATTAAGAGGTGCTTCAATTTCTTGTACGTCTATATGTTGTTGGCCTCTCTCACAATAAATTGGTCCAGTTCTGGATTCTTGTGAGAAGCCTCCCTCTTTTCTCTATAAGTTTAAGAAACCTGATTTAGTTATTACAGATTATTTGATCATTTTTGGATGTTGTTAACATTTGTTTTTTGCAGATTGTGTCAGTACCAGAACCAGAGTTTCCACCTCCACCGCCCCCAGTTGTCACTAGCAGTTTACCATCAGCTCCTCCTCTATATCCTTCTAATGGATTTTCAGGCTCACCACCAGGATTGAGTCAACAACAGAGCTTTGATGATTGGGATGATGATGAATGGGATGATGATGATGGGGAATCTAGCAATAGTACAACAGGGACTACACAAGTAAACTTGACAGATTATAAACATTTTAATTAGAGTTAATTATACAAAGTACAATTTATGATTCTTCAAAGTACAATTTTATTATTGCCTTTTCTCAAATGTTTTTTCATACAGAAACAATAACATGATTTGAAGTAGTATTCCTAAAACCACTTAAAACAATGAGAAATGCTTATATTGATTGATTCAGGATTTAGGGGGGCAAGGAAACTTTGGACTTGCAGTTCCTAAACGAGAGGGTAAGAAAATATCTCCTGGTACAGAAATGTCTAAATATGGAACTGTCAAAAGCAGTTTTAGCAGGTATGTCATTCTTAGCTCAGATACTAACATGTAAGCTAGTAATGTCATTCAGTGTTATATAGAGGTCTTGGTTCAATAATTATTTCACCTTTGGCACTTCTTCCTCCCTTTTTTTAGGTTTTCCCATTTTGCTAAATCTGGTGGGGAAGCTTTCCTGATGGGTCAGGCTGTTGAGAAAGTGAATGATAGTGAGCGAATCAAAATAATTGTAAGTTTGAGCTCTCTAACTTTATCCTGTGGCTTAGTGTCTCTGAAGAGAATCAATAATTATATAAGCAGTCAAAGAAGCTGATTAGTAGGCACTTGTGAAACATTAGGAAAGAAAGAGAGAATTGGTGCCATGTGATTCTTGTATGCAATGCTGAGAGTAAACTAATTAGGGGAAGAGGCTGGCTTGCAAATTTGTGCTTTGGGTGATTGGGATTTTTAAGGAAGTATGCAGCTTATTTTGAGCTTCATTTAAACCATCTTGTTACAGCTTTAGCTGAAACTGCTTATAGCAATGGTATGTGTAAAATGATGAAAAACTGTATACAATTCAAATTCATATAATTCAACAACTTCTTCCAAGTTGTTTGACTTGTGATAAAATATAAAATACGAGCTGACCCGCTATTTGTTTTATTTTCTACTTTTCAGTGATTCATAATGTGTGAATTCGACACTACCAATGCTGCCAGTGAAAATATTTTGCTTTAAAAACACTATCAGTAGCTCGTAAAGGACGATTATCCTCCTTCCCCCCCCCCCCCCCCCAAAGCAGCCATCCATGACAACAGTTTACATATGACAATGAAAAGCTCAAGCAGAACTTGTTATTACCTCCCCTTAGTTTTAAATAGTTTAAAAACTAAGTTATCTGCCCCTAATATCCGTCACCAATTCGACCCTGCTCTACGATTGTAAACATTTGGCATGAACCACAGCTCACCAAACAGGTGGGGGCGGGGGGTGGTAGCAATATAATTAGAGTGCAAGGGAGGGGGCAGCATGGCTCGTGTACGTGTTAGTGGTGGTGTCCTGCATGGTTCCCATGTAGAGAATTATATATATAGATCATTACAAGAAAAACCATTTTAAATGAATTCTAATCATCCCTCATGTTTTCTTTGGCATCCAGGAAACTGCTGATGGTCCTATGTGGTTAAAAGAAGACAGTGCTTTCACCTGTGCAGTCACATCACCAAAGAAAGAAAGCAAAATGAAAGGTTTAAAGAGTTACATAGCATATCATCTTCAGCCCTCAGTAAGTCTTTTAACTATTGTACAAAGTCTTTTCTTTCCAGCATGCTATGTAATCTAGAGTATGTACTTCCTCTACTACTCAAGGCCATCTGCAAGTCTCGACACAACTTTATTCCCTAGGTGTAAATATTTATCACATTGTCTTAGTTGTCTCTTGCTTGAGATTCATTCTGTTTTTATCTTCTCTATTCTTACTAAATTTATAAATTTTAACATTTAATTATAATGACTAATTGTCTATCTAAGTAGATTATAAATTAGATATGCTTGCATTGTCGTTGAACAATAACTCAGAAGATATCTTGAAAGTTTAACTGCATTATAAATGTGTTAAAATTGAGATACAATTGTGGGCAGCTACTCGTCTAGGAAAGGCAACTCTAAAATCAAACAACTGCTGCCTTGTAGTTTGTTCTTGGTTGGGCAAAGCAAATGGAAAAAGAAAAGCAGGCTGAAATTGGAGTCAATGACCTATATGAGGCATAACAAGTTGACACATAATACCTAATTATGTGGAGGGAGTCTCTTCCAACACAAGAATTAAGAACGAAGAAGAAGCTACCAGGCTTGCCACAACCCACAAACAAACAAAAAAAAACAAATTGACATTCTGAACTTTATAAAAGCTTATAAAATGAGATAATAATTGCAGGATTATGTTAAAATATTATTACATAAGTACTGTTTTGTTTACATTTTCAGTTTAGTAACATTATAGTAAGCAGGAGGTATAAGCATTTTGATTGGCTACATGGGAGATTGGAGTGCAAATTTGTTTGTATACCTATCCCACCATTGCCAGATAAAGCTGTCACAGGTATGGAAATAGAGTAATTGAAAACAAATTTTTAGAGCAATTTACTATTGTCGTTAAACTTTTTAAAACTTCATTTTGTTCAAATTGATTTGGAACTTATCATCCAGTGTTAGTTATTGAAAGTATGCGGATCTATTTAAGTTGATTTGGCACATTCTGTTTTTGTATATGTAGAAAATATGCAGATTTATTCTCTTTAGGTCGATATGAAGAAGATTTTATTCAAGAAAGAATGCGCCAACTTCAAGCGTGGGTCAATCGAATGGTCAGACATCCTGTCATATCTAGGAGTGATGTGTTTCATCATTTTTTGACATGCACGGATGATAAGGTGATTTTTAATACACTCAGAGTATTGATAAACACTTGGATTATATTAGAGACATTGATTGTGTAGCAAATAGGAGACAGAGAGAAATATTCAGTTAGATGCTGCAGTAAAATCACCTCTTTGCTACTCCAGGACCTGAATGTTGAATGACTCAACAGTGACCACCTTGTGTATCTCCATTGCATTAGAAATGTGAAAAGCTGTGCTATGCAATATACTGTGGGATAAATAAATTGAAAGATAAGGAAATATATGGGAGAAAGGGGAGTTTCTAGCCATTTACTTTATAAAAATCTAATTTGTTTCAGAAATGTTATGTAGGACTCTTGTTTATTATTTACGCTTCATAATTTCCTAATCAGATCCAACCAACAGTAGAATGTTGTTTTTATTAGTTTTAGCATTCTCAAGAAGTTTGGGCCAGGGAACTAGAATGCCATTCAATTTAGATGTTTTAATACAAACTAAACTTATTTTTCTTCAGAAATGGAAAGTTGGTAAAAGAAACGCAGAAAAAGATCAATTTCAGGGTGGAAAATTTTTCCAGGTTTTACAACCACCTACTAAAGCGTTAGATTTACGAGAAGTGTAAGTTTTACTTTAGCAACATTAAAAAGTAATGTTAACTCTTTTTTCATCTCTGCATGATCTACCCTTTATCACTATAAATTGATATCTAAACAAGGTGCTAAAGTAATGAACTGTTTGCATTATGGCTAGTATACTAGATCATGCTATCATATTTAAATAAATTTATACATTAATTAATGGAGTAAACTTTGTTTTTGGTTCTTTTGTGATGTTGGTTGACTATAAAATAAAATAATTTTAATACAAATAAAATCAATATAGATGAATAGCTAACCAACTGCTTATAAAGGATGTTTGTTTAGTTAAAAGATTATTTTTAATATGAATGCAACAACATGCGAGATAAATGACTTTTTCATATAGATTTAACCCTGAATATTAAGTTTTAAAAGCAATAATAATTCAAGCTTAATTATTTTTGTCTCATTTAAGTTGTATCTTATAACCCTACCTTTAAAATGATCCCCTACTCTAAAACCAGAACCTTATTAACTCTCACAAAAGAAACTAAACTCATACCATAATTATTCTTTTATTGCTAATCTTACCTACATTTTTTTTGTAAGTCGTAAACTACATAAGCTAAAGTAATAACATTGCAAAATGTAATTTAAATTAATTTTTAAAAATCCTCAGATGCAAAACAATTGATATATTTTCAATCCAAGCCTACATAAATTTAATGCATATTTATTTCATATCTAAGGACTTTGAGAAATTAATGAATTATATATGCAATGTTTTTTTCCCATTGCTACAAAAGTATTAATGAAAATAACACTATTATTTTTTTTTTGCGAAATATATAAGGTTATAAAATTAGAACATGAGCCTCCTCTAAAACAATACAACTCTTGCTACATTTAAAAAAAAATGTTTATTTTGGTTGTAAGGTAGAGTGCTAAGGTAGAGTGCTAACTGCTAACCCAAAAGTTCTGAGTTCAGATCCCTGGCTCAAGTGTACAATGTCCACCAAGCTCTAATGGGTACCTGAGTCACTTTTGGGAATAAAAGGCAGATGGCCTTCATATGTAAAGGCTACCAAAACAGGTGCTCTCTACTTCACCTGCCCCATAGACTATAAGATTTGAAACGGTACTTTACTTGTGTGTGTGGGGAGGGGGGGGGAAGAGAAGTGTTGCAACACGAAACAATTATTTAGAGGTTTTGTGGCCTATCGTGATGTCATGTATTGCTACACAATCTGATAGGAGGTGGGTAAAAAGTGAGCATGATATTACTCCCCTCCCTTTATTTAACCTATTTGTGATGTCATGTATTGCTACACATTCTGATAGGAGGTGGGTAAAAAGTGAGCATGATATTACTCCCCTCCCTTTATTTAACCTATTTGTGATGTCATGTATTGCTACACAATCTGATAGGAGGTGGGTAAAAAGTGAGCATGACATTACTCCCCTCCCTTTATTTAACCCAACATCATTATCCCCTGATCAATTGCCCCATGACAATTACACACGGGTAAGGGTTATGGTAGGGTTAAGGATAGGATGTTATAAATAGGGATAGGATGAAGGTTTTGTATAAGGTTAGGAACAGGGTTAAGGTTAGGAGATAGCTATGGTGAAAGACAGGGACAGGTATTGGTATAATATGTATTGTGCAGTGGGTTAATTACACAGGGTGGTAAATGACAGAAGCTGATTTATCTGGGTGCTTATGACCATTTAAGGGCGAGGGGAGTGTAGCTTCCTAGGTAAACAATATAGCATTTCACTTAAAATTTAGGTTTAATTTTAGTTTATTTATGATATTCTTTAGACTTTTTTTTCCATCTGCAGTGAACCTAAAATGGAATTATTTTGTAAATTTGTCTTGAGTATGACAGAGAATATAAAGACATTAATCACAGTTCACCAAGATTATGCTAAAAAACAAATTGGGCGTGAGTATTTTAACAGCATTTTTGCTATATTTAACATTTCTAGTATTTCAAATTATGTCTGAATCTTTCTACTGATTGGTTATATTTTTAATTTTAATAAAGTACAAGAATTTTAGTTGTTAGGTTTCATTTCCTTAGCCGTTGTTTTTCCTGTTACATTTAAAATTTTAGCTTTCAAAAGAGAATATGGCAGAATTGGTGCTTCTTATAAACAACTGGCACAAACTTTTAACATGGATACAAATCCTGGTAAGTTCTTACAACATTCCAACATTTAGTTACCATCTGGCAAGGTTTACTCTAATTGCTCATGTGCTAGCTGAACGTAAGATAAGAACCTTATGTACCGAACTTGTTAACTAATAACAAGATCAATAAATTACATGGGTAGTTACTAAGAGTTTTAAAGCGATTTGTTTATTACATGCAGTCTTCTTAACAGCTGCCTAAGTTTTTTCAATATAATCAAACCAGCTTCTAGAAATCTGACTGCTGCTATTGATTACACTGGAGATGCCTTTAATGATATTGGAGAAATGTTTGCAAAACAGGTAATGTAGTTGCAATTAAAGGTTCTAAGGCTAACATTTAATTCCAAAACTTTGTAGAGCTTTATTATTGACAAAAGTTATAATAACTCAAGAAGTTTGCTATGTGTATTTATATCAAAGATCTTTGCACTATTGCAGCCTCCCCGGGATGCCTATCCTTTGATTGAATCTTTTTATGAATATAAAGGATTGTTACAAACCTACCCTGATGCTTTGAAAGTCCACGAGGTATTTATTTGATTTACTTTGTGCTAGTACATTGGTGACTAACCTAGTACAATTTATAGCTTTTTACCATTAACTTTGATTCCTCTTCATAGACAACTCCAACATCCTGGATGAGACATTCTGATTTATACAACTCAGCAAAACTTACCTCCTTAATAGAGTTTACTTTGGGATTTAGTAATGTCACAAACTAGACCCCTGACAAATTGTATGGGAGCCCTATATTTATATTTATGTATATATATATATATATATATATATATATATATATATATATATATATATATATATATATACATTTTTATGTTTTATTAATTTACTTTTTAGTATTTAGGAAATATAAAAATATATCAGTAACTGGATAAATAACCATTAAACAAACACATATTCCCACTCCAAACATAATGTCTATATACTTTTATAGAAATGACTCCATTATGACTTTAAGTTATAAGAAGCAAATGACATGAACACCAACTCACCTGATTAATCATTGTGATCTAGTTATTTACCTTTGTTATTGTACATTGTAACCTTCAAATTAATTTGATTGACCAATCAGTTTTTGCACAGTGTGAAAGAAAATGCTACAGCACAAGATTAAAAATGTTGTCACATAAACCAACCCCAAAATAAACATCTAACAACTAACAGTGCCGTTATAAAAATGTTGTAAAATGTGTTGTCCTTTGACAGTTGTGCAGAGCATGCAGTATTTTGTTGTATATTTTTGTAAGGGAGCAATAGGAAAAGCTAAGGAGTGCCTAAAATTACAAGAGGAAGGTAAAATGCAAGAGACTGAGGTACAAAGTGTCTTGAGTCGTGCAGACACAATATCATACGGGACACTGGCTGAGATGAATCATTTTCAACATGAGAGGGTTATTGATTACAAGTCTATGATGCAGAGTTACCTGAAGGAACAAATTGATTTTTATAAAAAGGTATGCTTAAACACCTTGCCAATCATTTGTTAAACACCTCAAGAATAAACTTAAATCATTTGTTAAACACCTTGCCAATCAGATGTTAAACACCTTGCCAATCAGTTGTTAAACACCTTGCCAATCAGATGTTAAACACCTTGCCAATCAGTTGTTAAACACCTTGCCAATCAGTTGTTAAACAACTTGCCAATCATTTGTTAAACACCTTGCCAATCAGTTGTTAAACACCTTGCCAATCAGTTGTTAAACACCTTGCCAATCAGTTGTTAAACACCTTGCCAATCAGTTGTTAAACACCTTGCCAATCAGTTGTTAAACACCTTGCCAATCAGTTGTTAAACACCTTGCCAATCAGATGTTAAACACCTTGCCAATCAGTTGTTAAACACCTTGCCAATCAGTTGTTAAACACCTTGCCAATCAGATGTTAAACACCTTGCCAATCAGTTGTTAAACACCTTGCCATCTACAATGTTGTGGTCACAAGCAAGGAAGATGACATTTTATTTTTGAGATAACAAGGCAGACAATTACAGGAAATTTAAAGAAGAGACTAGCAGATTTTCAACCCCATCCTTAAAATAATATAAAACTGATGAACCAATTTTAACAATTTAAAAAAAAAATTTTTTTGGAAATACAAAAAGTAACTATGTAAAGTCTCCCACCTTCCAACATTGCTTATGGCCAATAGTAACTGTAAAGTTTCCCACTTGTGTAAAATTCTACTGATAGACTCAGTCAGCAATGCTTTTCTTTTGTGTGTATGTCTTCTACAATTTATTTTCTAAGACTTATAAATCATGAAAGTAAAATTCAAACACATTTTTGGGTAAAATATTTTTAAAATATCAGCAATTTCATTACATAATTTATTAGGCCTATTATTTTATTTGACCAAATTATTTTTTATCAAATTACAAAATTTGCACTTATTTTTAAATACAAGAAGTGCAGAAACTAAAACTTATTGCTTATTATTATAATATCTCTATGTATTGAAAAGAGTTTTTTTTTGGAGAGTTTTCCTAGATAGTAAGTCAAATATTGACCATAATTTCAGTATTTTTGGTTTTTGAAGGAAAGCTTAAAGCATTTAACTGCATTTAACAGCATTTCCAGCAAAGAAACAATCACCATACTTTTTTAAAAAGCGCACTGTTCCTCTATCTCTCCATTATCATTTTTTGTAGACACTTTTTATAGTTTTATAACAAAAGTTATTTTTTTCCAGTTAACTAGCAAGTTAGAAGATGCACTACATCGATATGATAATGCATAAAGGTAAACTTAAGTTAGAATTTTAATGTTTTAGTCAAAATATGTACATGAAACTGCTTCCATAATGGTTTATTTTTTAGCTATTCATCCATATATATATATATATATATATATATATATATATATATATATATATATATATATATATATATATATATATATATATAATATATATATAATATGTATATGTAGGTATATATTTATTACACACATATATTTACATATATGTAGATATTCGTTAGATGTTCATATTATTATTGTTATTATTAACTACATATGCTTTATCACAAAAAATGATATGATGCAGATTAACAGTGATCAAACACACCATTTTCATGTTATTCATAAACTGATACTTATGTTATTGAATTAGGATGTTTTCTAAACATGTTGATTTCATACCATTACCTATTATTTTAAAAATCCTTTTTATTCACCAACAGAATTCATAATGCCAGGATGATCCTTGTTACAAGAAAGTATTTAAATTAATATTCGTGTCACATCTAAACAAACACACATTGTTTTCTTTGTATGCTTTATAACATATTTGAGTTTCCAACCATCTTTACAGCACTAGTAGCTTGACACATTATTTACATTAGTTTTTGTTGTAAATTTTTATTTTATTTAGCAGTGCCCTTAGCACTTAAATATTTGCCATCAATGTATCTACTACAATAGTTTTTGTGATTTTTTTTTTGTTGAAAATATAGATGAGTCTCCATGTCATGTTTGATCCAGAACAGTTGCAATATTAATAGAAGTGATTTTTAGTATAAAAATTATTCTGTACGAGTGTCTAGGGTTTTGTGTTTTACTATCAAAGTTCTCATGCCCATAATGATTTATTCATCCACTATAACAAATGTAATTTCAAATGACGTACAATATAGAAAACTCTGTTAATAAACATTTTTTCCCTTTTGTATGAGATGTTTGTATTTCTCAGTAGAGCCTACTGCAATTCTGTAATCAAAATTGTTTACACTTGTTTTGTTAAAATAATGATTCGTCCCCATTGTTTGATTATCTACTTCACATAGTTGATAATCAAACATCTTCCACATTGACTTAATCTAAGGCACTTGTGCCCTAAAAACATTAGCCTTAAACAAGACTTGTTCATAACTTGAGCCTGCAGAAAACCCTCTTTAAACATTCTCCTCAGTTCTTGGACATTTGTTTTATAAATGGGAGTAAAAAAATTGAATGAAATTTTGTATTTTTACATTCTTTTCCTTATTTGGTGGTCAAATCCTATACTCTATTTTGGCCAATTGCTGATACAATTTTTTCTTTCAAGCTTTGTAGTTAATAAGAATTGATTAAAAAATTACTATATTCAATAAGAAAAGGCATCCATCTTGGTTAATGATCACCTGAACTGTCACATGTGTTTACCTAACCAGAGCTGAGAAGGATTTTAATGACTGCAGACTATTGTTGTTTAGAGTTCATTTATTACTAGCTACTGATCATGCTTTAAGTCTTAAGAAAATAGTTGTGATGACTACATAATTAAGAACAATTAGAAGGAAATAAGTGATTTTAAAGCTTAAATATTAACTTACTTTTAAATTTTTACAATTTTAAGATTCTAAAAAACCATTTAAAAAACCTTTAAATGTGCTGAAGCAAAAAAACAAAACTTTCCTTAATTAGCTGTAATATGTGAGTCAGAATATCTTCAAATTTTAGACATCAATAAGTATACTTTTAATCTAAAGAAAGAAACATTTGTTTTATTTACATGTCCATTTACAAGGTAATTTTAAAGGTTTTATAAATACATGTTTCAGTTGGCTGAACAGCACTCATACCTGCATACACCTCACTTAAAGTTTAAACTTTTTCCCCATTTCAGTCTGTCAGGTCATATTTTTTCGGACATGATTCATTTCTGCATTTTTGTTTGAAAAGATTTTTTAAGTGTATTTAATTCTGCATGTATAAAAAGAAATGTTACATTTTAACTTATGGAAGTAAAATTGGAATTACGTCAAAATGATTGTATTATGTGGTGTTTTTTTTTAAAATATAACCAACTTACTGTTAATCAGTTTCTTCCAGGCATCTCCAGGCTTTGCCACCCCCCCCCCCCCCCCCCCCCCCCCGAACAAAATGAAATTTATATAATTTATATAAAAAATATATACTTTTAACAGTGTCCGCCCCCCGAAAATTTCAAGTGCCCCCCCCCCCCCCCCCCCGGAGAAAAAAGTCTGGAAGAAACACTGCTGTTAATAATAGATGCTAATATATTTTAATAAGCAAGTTTCTTAAATGGATATTTGTGCCATCTCTTGTTAAATTTTAGTTTAAAGTTTAGCATAATTTGACCGAATATTGGCACTTATCATTACTGCCATAGCTCATAGTAGTCATAGTGGGTTTTCATGTCAGATTGCATTATTTAAATTATGAAGTAGTTTGTAATTGATCACATTCATCTTCTGTTAATAGTTTTCATAATAGCTTAGAGAAAGGAGTTTTATTTGTTTTGGATTTTTTTATGGTATGTCAGGCTGATATTTAAAATTCTGTCACCCTATTTGTAACACTTTGGCCTGTTTTTCACTTTTGTGAAATCTCTATTATGATTAAACAAATGGTTTTCATTTATTCCATTCATAACTTTGTCCATGTTTAATTGTTCTTTTAATAAGCCAGTTAAAACTATTGTATGTTGTACATTGAACCACATAATTGTGATAAACAATATTTTTTATCTAATTTTTTTTTACATACACAGTGGTGCCAGTGTTAATGAAATCATTGCAAGTCTGTGTTATTACAAATGTACTTAACAATACATCACCAATGTAAAACAACTCACATTTGTGCTAATATTCAGTGCCTTTTGATTTTGTAGCCAAACTGTATCTTGCATGTATGAATATTGCATGAGTCATTATTTTTTTTTGCACATCTCAATGAATGAGTTTAGATATATTGTATATATCATATTGGCCAAGTAAAAGTTACTTTGGGTTATTGCCTTAAAGAAAATAAAAACTATTGAAATCTTTTTAACTGTGTTCGTTAAAATCTGTGGAAGGTGTTCATCTGAAGAATCTTTGAATGTAGGAACTTAAAAATAAAGGTGTTAAGTTTAAAGGATCCACTAAGTCAAGAAATGGAAAGAAGTGAGAAGACCTGTTTCTATTCATGTTTTTTACTGTCAAAGTGCAAACCAGGCTTCTATTGAGTGCCTGAACATGGGCTGACAGAACAGATAATGGATAGGACTTTGTACTCAGCCTACACATTTTATAGAATGGAAAGTGTAGAATAAGCTCAATGTTCCATCGAGAATATTTCATCAATATTTCAACAAGCTTTTAAAAAATTTGTAATTGATAATTTTTTTATCTGTTGGCTGCTTTTTTCTGTCCTGTTACACTTTGCTGCAGACATTCTGTGAGCTGGCATGTTCACAACAGTAACACTGGCACTGCATGTAACAAAAAGTGTATGGACACGTGTCATGTGAAAGATTGTTGTTTAACAATATGGTACGGATTATAGTTTTTAGCATCTTTATCCAAACATTATGCAAAGCTAGGCAGTAAGCCTTATAAATTGAAATCCTTGAGTTTTATTACTCTACTCATTTAAATTTAAAAAACAGTAATGCAGCATGATACAGGCATTATAACAAAATAATGAATTGTGTTAAAGGCTTTGAGTGCAAGAAATGTTAATATTCTTAAGTAACACAATCAAAACGTATCTTTGATTCATTTCTATAAAGTTGTTTAATTATAATACTATTAAATTATAATTTATAAAAAATATTAATGTTGAGAAAATCTCAAAACATGGACGAGACGTAAAATTTAAAAGACCATATTTAGGCATATTTTTATAGGAAATAAGCATGTTAAAAAATTCATAAGCACATAATACAGTTTAAGCACATAAAATTAAACAGATACTGTAATAGTAATTATTTTCATCTTTTCAAGAAAAACCTCAGCACTTTTGGTGGGCAAGGCAGTCTCTGGTAGTAAAATAAATAGGAATAAAAATAATAATAACTTTATTTAATAACGGTAATAACAGTAGACTTTTTATCACATTGGCCTTTTTTTTTAAAAAAAACATTTTAATAAAAAAAAAAATTGAGTAGTAAAAAACATAGCATTTAAAATTTAGGAATAAAGAAATTATATCAGTAAAATATAGTAATATAATTATTACATAGTTATAATACATAATGGGATTGAATGAATAGATGAATGAGAAATGTTGCAATGAGTCAGTTTAGGGGGTCAAGAAATAGTCGTTTTTTAGTTTAGGAATAAATTTTAAAAAGTTATTAAATTATTAAGTTATTAATTAGAATAATGGATTGTGTATCATAATTTCAAGCCATTTAGTGAACAATAAGTAATAAAGTACTTAAGGAAATTGAAAGTGAGAAGTTATTTCTACATTTAAAACAAATATGAATCTTTTGTTCATATCACAAGGTGGCTTAAAAAAGGGACAACACTAGATTTTGCCCTTGCATAGAGGGGTTGAAAGGATAGGGATTTTTTCTTTGAGTCCAACCCTTTTTTACAACAAACTTTCTTGTATTTTATAACAGTAAGGGTTGGAATTATACTTACACTGCACTTGGGCTATAAAAATATAAAAGATTGAGATGGAACCACAGGTTGTCAGAGGTTACGCAAAAATTAAAAGTAATCTAATTATAAGTTCTTTAACTATGAACTTTCATCTATCTAACTTAAACAGTACTAAGTTATCATGTTCCTTTGGAAATAGATTAAAATACCACTTGCAATTACAGGAAATTGTTTGAAACTTGAAAGAACCTGTGAAATTTTTACCACCTAACTGAAACGGTACTTAAGTCATCAGCTTTTAAGAAACTGAAAGTCGATAAAGTATCACAAAATGCTCAGAAGTTAGTATATAACTACTAATTTGCTGTAACACTTACATGTGAAATTTAGTTAACCTAACTGAAATGGTTTCACATACACACAAACAAGCACAGACAACTAAGTTTTCTGACTCAAGTAGGTGTAAAACAGTTTGTTAGGGCTACAACAATATTTCCTCTATACTCAATGTATGAGAAAGTAAAAAGTCAATCCTGAGTTAAGTAATGCTTACATGACGCCATAATGCACAAACTGATTTAAGAAATAGAATATTCAATCAGTACTGAATGAAAAATCTTGAAAATACAATACATAAAGAATGTAATAGTTTTCAATCCTGATATAGACATTTAAAATATATGTAATTCAGATGTAGTAATTTTAAATACTTTAAATATCCTGAAGGTTTATATTTGGAAAGTGGTGTAGAATGTTGTAATGGTTTCTATTAGTTTCTTGTTTCAAGTTGAAGAGGATGGTTATATAAAAGACTATTAATCAATGTGAACTGTTACAAAAGATCTTTGGTAGAAACTTGGCACACCAGACAATATAGCTCTAGCAATGTAACACAAGAAGTCTAGTCTGCAACAACTTTAGGGAGTCAAAGCAATACTTGTGCTCCAGAGACCAGGTGATTAACAGAGTACAGAAAACTATTCAACAGCAGGCAGAATGTGGGGGTGATTGCTAAGGTTAGTTCCCCTGGTGAAGAGAGGCATCATGCATATTTCACCAGCACCTTTCTGTAATAGTTTAACACTTTAAAGTATCAAGTAAAAAATGTCTAACTTGAGACCAAGGGGAGTAACCTAGCCCTCCATGTACATGGACCACTGGCTTATACTATTGCTGTTATTACTTTTACTGTATAGGATGGTGCAACAGTTAATTTCAAAGTCTAATGTATGTATTGATCTGGCTTGTCCCTTTCACCCAGGTATTATTTAGTTTCCATGACTGTGAGGCAGAGAAAGGTGAAATGTGAGGCAGAGAAAGGTGAAAAGTGAGGCAGAGAAAGGTGAAATGTGAGGCAGAGAAAGGTGAAAAGTGAGGCAGAGAAAGGTGAAATGTGAGGCAGAGAAAGGTGAAATGTGAGGCAGAGAAAGGTGAAATGTGAGGCAGAGAAAGGTGGAATATGCTTTTGTGTTCCGTGGTAATCAAGACTGCTGGTTGATTAGCTGTAGGATTTTAACATTATTTTAACACACATTATCTTGTTTGGTAGTGTCAGCTTCTGATGTATATTGTATTCATGCATTCTGTATTGGACTGGTTGAGTTTGTTGTATTAAGTTGCCCACTATTCAACAATTCATGGTTAATCCCTTAGTTAACATTTGTTGACATCATCACTTCTTCAATGCATTCACACCATGACACTAGATTATAAATCTTAAATATAATCACTTTCATGAGCACCAATTTGAAAGACATTTGTTAAAAGAATATACAATCTTACAAAACAAAACAGACACCCTTTGACAAACTCTAGGTAGCAGATGCCATAACATCAGTCCTCACTGTGTATTTTCTGCCTTTTACCAGGAGTGATCCTTCATGTCTAACATCATGTTGAAAGATAAGTACAGAGCCTGGAGGACATTTTTAAGTGGTTTAATGAAATATTTTACAAAAAGCAGTGGACTTGTTAAAAATGTTTTGTTTGACAGTTTTTAAAACATAAAAAATAAAATCTTTTCTGTATGTTAGCTCAAGTATGGCAGCTCTGTAAAGTTGATAACTTGTTTTCAATAATTATTTTTTTGTTGATACTCAATTTCACACACTGAGGTTTTTTAATAACTTAAAATGAATAAATAATAATTCAGTTATTAAAAATTCTGTTAAAGCTATTGTCACCAATTGAATTCTCCTTTTTATCCATACATTACTCATTTCCCTCGGCATCCACATGGGGTGGGTGGGAGTCTGAATGAAGGGATGACAAATTGAAATAGGTGACACCCCCCTCCCCCCCAACATAATAAAATGCTTTCAGTTTTAAGCTACCCATATCTGGGTAGAAATCAAAGTAAGCTCACACAAACCAAGAGCCCCATTATGGTTCTAATATATTATTTCACATTGATTTGTTTAAAGAATCTTGAAATGATTTTTAACAATTGTTTAATAAAAGAACTAATAGCAAAATTGAAAATAGTAATCTGCAAACCTGTTTTTGGTACAACAGAAATTCGTTCATTGTTTATTCCTAAAAATGTTGTTGCACCACCTTCAAATCCCTGAAATGAATTTGAAACACAATTTTAAAAAAAGCTTTAACAACAAAACAATGACATTTTAAGATTTTTCAATATTCTAAGTGGCTGATTAATTAAAAAAATAATTAAAAATGAAAGCATACAATTGTTTTTTTGCATATCAACCTACATTCAAGTTACCATTTAGAAGTCCACTGTTCCCAATCACACATGGTTATTCTACATTTTAAAAGTGATATTCACTCATTGAGATTACACACTCAAATAAACCGGGAGTGATCTCCCCTAAACTTTCTCGAATATTCTTATATAACACTACGGAGGATAGCAACTCGGGATATAGATTGGACATGATTTTTAATCCATTTTTTAAATACTTTAACTTTTTAAAATAGAATAGAATCTGTGCCAAATAGTCTGTGTATAATAGTGCGGAATATTATTAGTATTTTATAAATTTAAATGCGTTTTTTGAGAAATCGGAAATAACGTAAATTACTACCTCCGGTCAACTGAAATTACTCAAAATTTGACAAAAAATCAGAGAGTTAAATTTTTTAATTAAATGTGAAATTTCATTTATCTATCTGAACCAGTACTCAAGTTAGTAGCTTTTAAAAAATGAAAGTAGAATAAGTGCCACTTCCGGTTACCGGAAATTGCTGAAAAGTTAATACGAAACTTCAAATTTGATATAATACTTATATATGAAATTTCATCAACCTAGCTGTACTATACTCAAGTTATCATGTTCACAGACACACAGACACACACACATGCGCAAATACACTCACAGACATATGGACAAGATTGCAAAACTATGTTTTTCCGACTCAGGGAGGTGTAAAACGTCGAGATACAATACTTAATCTATACTTCGTATACGAGAAAGTAATAAACCGGGAGTGATCTCCCCTAAACTTTCTCGAATATTCTTATATAAAATAACAGGGGATGGAAACTCGGGCTATAGACATGATTTTTAATCCATTTTAAATACTTAAAGTTTTAAAAATAGAATAAAATCTCGTAGACAAATTAATTGCACACCAAGTGAACGCAAATAAAAAAAGCGCATAATAGTGCGCAATATTATTAGTAGTTTTAAAATTTACATTAGTTTTTTGAGAAATCGGAAGTAGCGTAAATTACTACTTCCAGTCAACGGAAATTACTCAAAATTTAACAGAAGATAGAGAATTAGATCTTTTACTTACATGTGAAATTTCATTTATCTATCTGAAATAGTACTCAAGTTATAGGCTTTTAAAAAATTCAAAGTAGGAAAAGTACCACTTCCGGTTATCGGAAATCGCTCAAAAGTTGATACGGATCTACGATTTTGATAAAATACTTATATATGAAATTTCATCAACCTAGCTGTAACGGTACTCAAGTTATCGTGTTTACACACGGACAGACACACACACGGACAGACACACACACACACAGACATACGGACAAGATTGCAAAATTATGTTTTTCCGTATCAGTGAGGTGTAAAACGTCGAGATTTGTAAAAATCTCGATTTTTTTTTTTTTGCACGATTACAATACTTTCTCTATAATACGTATATACGAGAAAGTAAAAACACCACAGCACCAAGTAATTAGCTAAGCCAATGCCGCTGCTGAGTAAATCTGACTAATCGCCTTTTCCCTACCTATTGCATGTTCAACACTATTTTTTGCATGCTTTTTTTTGTGTTTATGTTAACATGTTAAAAAGCTTAAAAAAAGTTGCTAAACTGAAAAGTCTCGAGTTCGAACCCACTGCCAGATGAGGCTCGTTAGCTGGGGACAGCGACTCTTCTAGGAGAGACAACTCCAAAATCAAACAACTTCTGCTTTGTGGTTTGTTCTTGGTTGGACAAAGGCTATGGAAGCTAATCCAAAAAGAAAAGCAGGCTGAACTCGGAGTCAATGGCCTCAATGGCCCATAACCAGTTGTCACATATACTTAATTGTATTTGAGGGGATCCCTTTCAACACTAAAATTTAGAACGTAGAAGAAGAAGAAAGAACAACCTTTTAAACTGTATATGTTTGATTTCTGTATTATTTCAGACATTAAAGAAAACTCAGATTGAATCGCATTTTTACACTAAGCTGCGATGTGCAAATTAAGGGGGAGGCTTGTTTAATAACTTTGTCTTAACCCATTGAAAATAATTTTTGAGTTAAGGCTATATTTCTATTTATTTTCATTCCACTTTATAAAAAACTGATAGTTATTTGTACTCAGATACAATGTTTTTAAAAATCAATTTTCTTAAAACCCTTGACCTAGTTTGGCTATTTTTTTCCCCAATTTCTGTGATGAATGAAAACATTTAAATAGTTTTTGAAACATCAGCTACATCGAATCTTTAGTAAAGTCCAACAAAAATCAAACAGTCAAATTTTTATAACCATATTTATTTTAATAACATCATACATGATTTTAAAAATATTGAATGAGACTATCCTCGGTTAAGTCCATTGACCAAAAAGTGAAATTTACCAAAAACAAAATAGTTCTATCCCCAAATTTTGGTTGATTTCCAAACACAAAGTTAACTGCTTTTTAAAATTAGTTTTTCACAATTTTGAATACTTTTTTTTAAAAATGGCATTAAATCATAGAATTAACATCTTTTCTTATTAATTTAAAGAGAAAATTGTTCAAATAAGCAGACCTGCTAGATAAACCAACCTGATTTAAATACAATAATAAGGTGATGACACTAGCTTCACCATTATCCCGTACATAGGCTCCATCTAGATGCTCTTTAAAATAATGTCCAGGATCATACCGTAGAAATCGAAGTCTGAAATTTACACCAGCTGAATATTTACATGAACCATACATAATAATTTTTTAATTATTCTTACCGTAAAATAAATTCTTTTTTATTTTATTTTACAATAAAAAGTTTAAAATATCACAAAGAAATCAACATTTTAGGTCTAATTTCTTTTTTTACCTTTCATTAAGGCCCAAAATTTTTTTCCCTTCAAAATCATCAGGGAGAAATCCTTTGATTCTCTTCCACAACTCGGCAGCATATTCATAAGAATCTATAATACACCGTTTACTGTTTCGAATTTCTGACATCATTATTTGTCTGCTAGTCAATTATGAGATGTGTAAAAAATAAAAGAACTGTAATCACTTATATTAGAAAAAGTGGTATAACAAAATAGTGGTGAAATATTTTGACTTGTACCAAGATAAAAACAGAAGACAGATGCAAATCTAGTTGTCAAAAGAATGAGAAAATATTCCAACTTGCTGTCTTGTATAGATTTAAGGTAGGATGATTGTAAATATTTTAGACTGTGGTCTCAAAGTAGATTTTGATACTTTTCAAATCTGTTTCCCAGCACACCTAACCCCTACTCCTTCAAAAGCTTAAGAGTTAGAGAAGAACTAGCTTTGCTTTACACAAAAATATAAAACAACTTTTTTACCTTACTGAGAAAAATCTAATTTGTTGGAATGATACAAAATACAATTGTGTATTTTAGAATGAAACTCCCTTATATCTTAAAATTCATGTTTTTAAAAATTAATCAGCCATTCCATCCTACTTATTTACATTCATAATGTAAGCCTACTTTGTAACCACTAGAGTCCTTCCAGTTCAGTGCCTGCATAGAGGGAGAGGAGTTTGAAACATGTAACTTTAGTGCATATGTGTGATCTAATTACATTGCAGCAGCTACTAAAAGTCAGTACTTCTGCTGTGAGTAGGCCTTAGTGAATAATGAAATGAAAACAGAAATGGAGTTCATTCAAATTTTTTATTAAAGTCAATAACAAAATACTTAAACAATGAGTAACAAATTGTTTTAAAAACAAAAACATACCTTCCACCACCTATATTAAGTAAAGCCTCCTCGTAGCCAACCTCTTCTGATTTGGTAATAAAGTTTTTGCATTCCTAAAAAATAAAAGGAGTGAACACTAAAACTCGTTTCATGCTAAACCAATGTGGCTTATACATAAAACTTGAAAGTAAAAATGTAACTAAGTTTTTTCAACAAACTATTGACATCATATTTTAATTAAAATAGAAATCAGTGTCATTTGAGAATGAGCTTACACCAGAGGCGTATCCAGGTCTTTGTAGGGGGAGCGAAAAGAGCAAAAAACGCGCCAAATTTTTAACACGTTCTATATACGTGTATTATATATATATATATATATATATATATATATATATATATATATATATATATATATATATATATATATATATATATATATATGTATGTATATGTATATGTATATATATATATGTGTATATATATATATATATATATATATATATATATATATATATATATATATATATATATATATATATATATATATATATATATATATATATATATATAATATATATATAATTAAGCTGTAGGCCCTATGTAGTTACTTCGCTATGATGTAAAATTAATTGAAAGTAGCACTCTGGAGAAATAAGAAAAAACACACAATGTAGGCAGACAAAACAAAAATTGTATCAATCTAAACAAAAAAATATATATATACACACACTACAACCAAAAACAATGAACGTAACACAATCTGTTTTGTAATTCTTGTAAAAAAAATTTCTTACATAATAATTCCTGGGAAATTATTTAAGACAAGTGAAAAAGGGGAAATAATCACTATCTTAATATAAATATATATATATATTATAATGAAATTGTTATAACACTATTCATGTTTACATAATGTTTTTGTCTATAATCAGAATTTAATATATCCTCATCATAAATGCTAAAGTATTACAGCATAATGAAAGTTTTAAAATCAGAGTTGGTATAAAAGCATGCTTTTCAATATAATAGAAAAACATTCGGAATAACAGCGTACGTTTAACTAAACATCGGTCTTTTAGTTCAGATCATATATTTTAATTAACTACTGCTTCTTTGTGTTCTTTAAAGATAATTTTTTTAACATAGTGATAGGTATGGGTTAGATCACTGTATTGATCACACAACTTTTTACTGGTAATTGCAAAAACAATATTCACAGAGTTTTACGTTTAAAAAGCTAATTTTCTGGCGGCATGGTACTTTGGTACATCATTACCCGTTTTTCAACATGTACTTAACAGATCAGTTCGGGTTGGGTTGGGGGAGGGGGGGTTCAACTTCATTCACCACTGTCCGTTCACTTTAATTTAATATATCGTCATCATAAATGCTAAAGTCAACTTCATTTACCACTGTCCGGTCACTTTAGGTCAATTATCCAACCCGGTGTATACCTAGTTGTGACATTAATGTTGCTCTACACAATTGTGGTGGAGATGGGGGGGGGGGGGGGGGGGGAGATAACCAACTCTGAGTGAACATAGCGTCAGTTTTTAGATGACTGTTCTTAACATACATATATATTACACAAATATATAATACAGAAATAGATTTAAATAAGTAGCAGTGGTATTATGACAATATTTTTTTTTACAGAGGGGTCCATGGGGGAGGGGGGTTGTAACTGTTTCGTATAATTTGTAATCGTAATCACTATCGCCCAATCTGTAAGAATACCACTACTTCATCATGATGACGTCAAAATTTCCCCACCACTACGCAGTTTGCTCATAAGTAAATTTAAATAGAGGTGCCACATCAGTTGTATTTGTTTCTGTATTGTAATTTTTATTTTAATTAATCACACGATTCAAACTGTATATATAAAGTAATTATGTATAACATTTTCTAATTCAATTATTCGTAAACAAATACATTATGCAGTTGCCTTAAACTTAACACCCCCTCTTGCCAAGTGGTACTACCCGTAGAGGTTTTTTAAACATTGCAATGCATCGTAATGGTTATTTTTAGAATGGTAAACTGATGCAGCTGTTAATACGTGTTGTAAACGTAGACACTACTAAACTAGTACAATAATGCTTAATTGCTGCATGAAAAGAAATCTTGTGATTTACATAGATGTGCCGACCAAAAATTTGTTAACAAATATCATTGTTTAAAACTTTGAGTTTAAAAAGTTTCCAAAAAGGCGCCACTTGGCTGAAAATGGCCAGAGGGGGAGCGGCAGCTCCCCCTGCTCCCCCCTGCGTATGCTACAGGCTTACACTTTAACTTTAATGATAAAGGCTATGAATTTTTTTTATTTACTTTTAACAGTTTTTATGCTAGATCTATATCATGTTTGAAATGTAAACTTTGGATTTTTAATCAGGACTAATATTAACTTTTTGCTATATTTTTCAGGTAAATAATTTGAATAATTGCATTTAAAAGTTTATTGATTTTAAAAGTCTTGATTGATTCTATTATGAAACCCAAAAATATTAAGTTTATAATATGCTGTGCCACACTCTCTCCACAATCAACTTGTTTAAATGTTTCTGAAGCTATTAAATTAAGTTTTTTTATCATATTTGAATTTGGTAACAATAATTTTTAATTTTCTAAATTACATAAACCTACCTATTGTTTTTACAAAGGAATTTAGGTAGTTCTAAATTTAAAGATATTGTAAGACCCTGACTTTTTAGTAAAAATATATAACTAGGGATTCAAACATAGAATATATTTTATGGAGGCCAAATATATTATTATTAGTGTTAATATCAAATATTAGGCTATAGAATAGATTATGCATGTATGTTTTAACTAGATCTAGAATACTTAATTCAAAATCAGTAGTAAGTGTATTATAATAAAAGGCCAATTTACTTCTTCTGTCATGACATTATGAAGCAGAAATGCCAATTTTGTTCTGTATCCGTTTGGTAGGTCAATTTCTTCCTTGACTATAGGAGGTGGACATGGCTGAGCAGAATTCATTAGGCCCAAGGTCTAGATCTGAAATATAGAATTTATTAGAATCTAGAGATCTATAGCTACAGCATAGTATAGGCGGCATTACTAACTATAAGTGGCAGCGGTGCTGCTAGGTCGGATGTCAGCGGGTGCGGCATTTTGTGGTGTCACCTGCTACCCTCACCAAGAAACAAAGTTTATATATATATATATATATATATATATATATATATATATATATATATATATATATATATATCAATGAATATAAATAAATAAATAAATACATGTATTAGCTTTAATAATAATAATACAGTTAATAATACAGTTGGATGGATGTAGCATTGTTTTCTCTACAATCTATAATTAGCACATTTAGTCATGGTGTCGTCGTTGTAATAATTGTTGATTTGAGCTTAAGTTTAATTAATTATCAATGGAACTGGCAAAAATGCCTTTTTCTTTTGTACATTTTGCCTTATTTTGCCATGGTGTCACCCCCCTAAATGGTGTCACTGCACCCACCCTCCATGAGCCTCTGATTAGTTACTAGATCTAGATCTAGTTGGTAGATCTTGTACTACTATAGTTGGCACAAAAGAGCACATAGAGAAAAATTTGAGGGGGGGGGGGGGGTGGTGCAAATCGAAAGTTTGAGGGGGGGGGGGTGCAAATCGAAAATTTGAAAGTTTGGGAAGGGTCGCTACGCCTCTGGGGGGTTGACACCATTAAGTGCCGCACCGGGTGACGCCCGACCTCGCTACGCCACTGGTCGAGATTACAATACTACTGGATCAGTGATTCTAGTCCAGATCTATACTACTAACAACAACCCAACACAACTATTTTATGGAAGAGTCTAGATTCTAGAATCTAGTCTAGATCTAATCTAGATCTATTATTATCGGCCGGCGATTTATCGGACACCGGTGGTATCTTAGTTAGTAGTTAGGCTAGGCCGCTATAGTTTTAAGTATATTATGATCCCACTAATAAAGTTACTAAAAACATTTAACATAACTATAACAGATCTAATATAGATCAACAATCTTTTATTATTAATTATTATCTATTGTAATATTACAGTGACTTACAGTGTAGTGTAATCAACCTGTTATGTTAATAACTGCACGACAGGGTCAGGGTGAAACGTATAAACCCCGGGTCAACATGACTTCTGTTTAGATTTTGGAATCAAATTTAAAGTAGCCGTAAAAATAAAAAAAATACATTTTAAAAAGCCTGAAAATAATTTAGAAATTTAATATAATTTTTTTTTACTTTCTCGTAGATCTAGATCAAGACTATATACGAAGTATAGAGAAAGTATTGTAATCGTGCACAAAAATAACATGAAATTTTGACAGTTTTCACCGTTTTACTCCTCAGTCCTTCTACACATCCGGAGTATAGAGGACTTATTTTAATCAGGCAAAAAATATAAATACAAATGGTTCCCAGAAAGAACCGCAACGGAAAAAAAGTGCACACAGAAAAAAGCGCAACGGAAAAAAGCGCACACGGAAAAAAGCGCAAAGATAAATAAACCGGGAGTGATCTCCCCTAAACTTTCTCGAATATTCTTATATAAAATAACAGGGGATGGGAACTCGGGCTATAGACATGATTTTTAATCCATTTTAAATACTTAAAGTTTTAAAAATAGAATAAAATCTCGTAGACAAATTAATTGCACACCAAGTGAACGCGAAATAAAAAAGCGCATAATAGTGCGCAATATTATTATTACTTTAAAAATTTACATTAGTTTTTTGAGAAATCGGAAGTAGCGTAAATTACTACTTCCGGTCAACGGAAATTACTCAAAATTTAACAGAAGGTAGAGAATTAGATCTTTTACTTACATGTGAAATTTCATTTATCTATCTGAAATAGTACTCAAGTTATAGGCTTTTGAAAAATTCAAAGTAGAAAAAGTACCACTTCCGGTTGTCAGAAATCGCTCAAAAGTTGATACGGATCTACGATTTTGATAAAATACTTATATATGAAATTTCATCAACCTAGCTGTAACGGTACTCAAGTTATCGTGTTTACACACGGACACACACACACACAGACACACACACAGACACACAGACATACGGACAAGATTGCAAAATTATGTTTTTCCGTATCAGTGAGATGCAAAACGTCGAGATTTGCAAAAATCTCGATTTTTTTTTTTTGCACGATTACAAGACTTTCTCTATACTTCGTATATACGAGAAAGTAAAAAAAGCGCACACAGAAAAAAGCGCAAAGAAAAAAAAGCGCAAACAGAAAAAAAGCGCACACAGAAAAAAGCGCAAACGGAAAAAAGCGCAAACGGAAAAAAGCGCAAAGAGAAAAAAGCGCACACAGAAAAAAAGTGCAAAGAGAAATAAGCGCAAACAGAAAAAAGCGCACACAGAAAAAAGCGCAAACGGAAAAAAGCGCAAACGGAAAAAAAGCGCAAAGAGAAAAAAGCGCAAACGGAAAAAAGCGCAAACAGAAAAAAGCGCACACGGAAAAAAGCGCAAACGGAAAAAAGCGCTAACAGAAAAAAGCGCAAACAGAATAAAGCGCACACAGAAAAAAGCGCAAACAGAAAAAAAGCGCAAACGGAAAAAAGTGCAAACAGAAAAAAGCGCACACAGAAAAAAGCGCAAACAGAAAAAAAGCACAAACAGAAAAATGCGCAACCAGAAAAAACACAACGAAAAATGTGCAAAAGAGAAATTTAGCACAAAGACCTATATGGACTAGATGGCACATTTATACATGACTGTTAGGGCTGCTGTGAGAGTGTCGTGTTTGATCACGTTATCTACTACCATTTAAAGCGTACCACTACCATGTGCATTTCTATCACCATGATACAGGCGATAATCGCTTAAAATACACAATGCCTATTATTTTCTTGGTCAATAATTATTCAAATACTATTCTCATATAAATAAACATAAAACTATCGACATTACACGAAGTACTTTTCACATTCTCCCTAGTCCGAACTACCTTGCTTGCATACCATAACAACCCGATCCTATGGCAAAACTTCACTCTTTTTCATCCGCGTCATTAAACATGCATTCGTCGTATCTCTCGTAACAACATTCATTCGCACCAAAATAACAATTTAATATTTTTTCACATCATGACGCACCTACCTACCTACCTACTAACCACCTACCCACCTACACACTTACCTATCTACCCACCAACCTACCTACCTACCCACTTACCCACCTACCCACTTTTCCACCTACACACCTACCCGCCTACCCACTTACCCACCTACCCACCAAAAAAGTATCGGCGAAGTTTGTAAGTTTCGTAAACTGTACTAGACATCTTTTTTTTAATGAAAATTCATTGACATCATTGACATATGTTACATATATGTTACATTTTGCGACAACCTTAATCAATGCGTTGGGCTTGTATGAAAACACACTTCAAACTAACTCAATTACATGCTATTTATTTTAACATTACACGGTAAGCGTCAGCCAACTGTTGTGATGTGAGGTGAGGACAGGCTCGACAATAAACCAACACGAAAGTACGAAAGAGACATAGACTGCCTATTAGAGAATGGACCCCTTAACTTTCCTAACCCCACCATTTATTATACCCTACCTATCCTCTAAATTTCCTGCGCTAAATGCCACTTCCCTAGCAATCAGGGGCGGAACTACAGTGCCGCCAGACCCCGCAATGCGGGGGGGGGGGGCCCACGCCATTTAGGGGCCCAGAGCCGACAATAATAAAAAAAAATTATAGTTAAAAAAAATTAAATTTTATTTTATTTTTGACTTTTGGTTGTTTTGTAAAACATTACCGTAGCTGCGGTTGGATTATCTTTATTCTATAGACACCACCCCACGCTCTTGTATATTCTTTTTCGCGTTGCTTTTAAACCACTGTGAAAGCCGGGTCTTTCTGCTACAATTAAACTTATCAAATATAAGCAAATGTTCAAACCACTTCCATGACTTATTTCCCCTTTTTTTTTTAAATAGTCAAATAGGGGTGATCATAAGCTCCTTTTAATAGATTTCTACAAAACAAATTAAAAAGCAATTACTTCTCTTAATTATTATTTTTTATAAGTAATTACTAAAGAATGACATTGTATAAAAAGGAAATGTATTAAATCAATAATATTTAAAAAATTAATAATATAAATACAAAAAAAAAAACATAAAAATAAACATAACACGAGACACCATTACTTATACAAAGCTTTAATATTTTATATTATTTTTGACCGCCTCTGTCAAGCATTGCTTCAGACTAATTTATCACAAAACACACTATTCAAAAAAAAAAAAAAAAAAAAAATTGCACTAACTCACTTGACATGAAGTTGAATTTTTTAAAAATTGATGTATCTCAAATCCCGAACAGGCCAGTATAATGAGTATCTTATGTTCGTATATTGTGATTGTATATATACCATATCATATATTGGCCTATATATATATATATATATATATATATATATATATATATATATATATATATATATATATATATATATGGGGGGGGGGCCTAAAAAATTTTTTTGCGGGGTGGCCCTTTTTTTCTAGTTCCGCCACTGCTAGCAATCGTTCCTATTCTTCAGAATTGTGTGTACTATTTATTTACACTCTTTAATCTCAATATAACTAAAATAGAATTTTGTTTGAAGGGTAATGAAAACATGTAAACAAAAGTGACGCTACTCTAAATCTTAGCGAATACTTATTTGCAGTGGCGTAGGCAGGGGGGCGGGGTTAGGGGGGCATAACCCCCCATAGACCCCTCGGTATATATATATATATATATATATATATATATATATATATATATATATATATATATATATATATATATATATATATATATATATATATATATATATATATATAAAGTGTGAGGGGGGGGTGCAAATCGAAAGTTTGAGGGGGGGGGGGGGAGTCTGGAAGAAACACTGCATGTAGCCTATAGAGCTATGGTTGTTTATATCATTTTGTATTCGTCCGGTAAACATTTCAGTAAAATACCTTAAAAACCTTCCATAACCTTTTTATAAAGAAACAAAGAGAGATGAAGTTTTATAATAACATCAGGCTTTGACTTACACCTACTCCAATGGCATCTACATCGTTAAACTGATTAACTATGTAATGTAGGGCTCTACATGAGAGGGTCAACACTACCATTATATTCTGTCTAGCCATTCAGTAGTTCATCCCAAAGCACGACGACATCAAGGTATACAAATGATTCGACAGGATAATTTTACTATTTATTGCATTACAAAGGACGACTTGAACGAACAATACTAAGACTGGACTACATTACGACATCACTCTAAAACAACAAGAACAAGTGTACTTTTTAACTTCTTTCCCCGACAACAACGAACCTACACTAAAACGTCACATTCTTGCGAACCGCGTAACTATTCAATGCGTCTTTAACTTTCGCACTAATATTCGTGCACACCAATCCTTGTTTAAACATACATCAAAACTATAAATATATATATATATATATATATATATATATATATATATATATATATATATATATATATATATATATATAGGCAGGTAGGTAGGTAGGCAGGCAGGCAGGTAGGTAGGTACGCAGGCAGGCAGGCAGGTAGGTAGGCAGGCAGGTAGGTAGGTAGGCAGGTTTGCAGGTAAGCAGGTAGGTAGGTAGGTAGGCAGGCAGGTAGGCAGGCAGGTAGGTAGGAAGACAGGTTTGCAGGTAGGTAGGTAGGCAGGTAGGCAGACAGGCAGGTAGGTAGGCAGGTAGGTAGGTAGCTAGGCAGGCAGGTAGATAGGTAGGTAGGTAGGTAGGTAGGTAGGTAGGTAGGTTGTAGGTTGGGAGGGAGGGAGGGAGGCAGGGAGGTAGGTTGGGAGGGAGGAAGGTAGGTTGGTAGGTAGGTAGGTGCGTCATTATGAAATAATAGTAAATATTTCATTGTTATGATATGTGTTTTATCAGGTATTTTGGTGCGAATGAATTTTGTTTTACGTGAAATATGACGAATGCACGTTTGATGACGCGGATGAAAGAGAGTGAAGTTTTGCCATAGGAACGGGTTGTTATGGTATGCAAGCTAGTTCGGACTAGGCAGAATGTGAGAGATACTTCGTGTAATGTCGATATCAAGGATAGTTTTATGTTT